AGTCTCACACACCTCACCTCTGACGTAATCCACATCACTACTGTAATTTTCCTTTATCTCTTCCCAGAAGTACTTAAGCAAGTACTTATCAAGCATGTAAGAACAGAAATAACTTCCATCATTTTATGTACAGAAATAGCAGCGTACCATGCAAAGCTGTACTCTGCTTTTTTTTTTTAAAGAAAAAAGTGCACTTCAATATTCTATATTGGTCCCTATTGACATGCATCTCTTTTTAACAGTATATTGTATTGTACTGCATGGTGCTTCCATAATTAACTTATTCTTTTCTGATGTTTAGATTCTTTCCAATCTTCTACTAAAAGAAGACCGTGACCTATGTATCTTTGAACATGTCTCTACACACATCCAAATATATCTTGCTAGAATGAAAGGTAAAACACATTTGTTTCTTTAACAAACACTTCCAAATATCAGGACAATTTTTAACATTTTAGATATTTTCTAGATATCTATCACTGGATTTAAAGGAAATTTATAAACCCCTCTATATGAAAAATGTTAACTATGTGTTTACTTTTTTCAAGAGGAAATCCATCATTTAAATCATATTCTTATAGAGGTCTGTATTGCTTAGAAGGTGAACTGCTGAGTCAATAGATCCTTGTACAGCACCAAAAAGAAGCAATAGCAAAAGTTGACACTAAGTTGAATCCAGAAAAATGCCTTGCATTTTTTTTATACTTTGAGTTTCTCATGAGAGAAAACATGTGATGTTTAAGTTTTGTGTCTGATTTATTTCATCTAACATAATGGTGTCAAAGTGCATCCATTTTTCTAGAAAGGACTCAACTTTATCCTTCTTGATAGAAGAATAGTATTCTACTATATATAAATACCTCATTGCTTATCCATTCATCTACTGATGGACACTTATGTGATGCTGATTGTAGATGTAACATTCACTTTAGTTTTTATGGCCAGCAGTCTAGACCAAGAAGCAATGTGGTAATTTAGTGACATCAGACAACCTAAACCTAAAAAACAAAAAACAACAACAACAAAAACCCTGAACCTTTAAAACATTCTTCAAAAGTATTAGTATACATGTTTACAGCAGTAGAATTCATAATTGCTAAGTTTTGGAAGCAGCCTATATAACCATCAACAAATAAATGGATAAAGAAAATGAGGTATTGATACACAATACAGTACTGCCCTACTGTAAAAATATATTTGAGTCCTCTATAGGAAAATGGATGCACCTTCAGGCAATAATGTTAAGTGTAATAAATCAGATGCTCAAGTTTAAATATCACATGTCTTTTCTTATATGAGAAAAAGCACAAATAATTTACACAGAAAAATAAAAGATAATTGGAAGTAGTGAGACAGATCTTTCACAAATGATAAGAGAACCAAGACATGGAAGAAAAGGAAGGAGAAGGGCTGGAGATTTAGCTCACTGGCATAAGCACCTGCCTTGCAAGCAGGCAGTCGTGAGTTCGATCCCTGGTACCGATAAAAACGAAAAAGACAAAAAAAGAAAAAAGAAAAGGAAGGCGAATGAAAGAGAAAATTTAAAAAATTATGATGTATTATGCACAAGTGCTAACTCAATGACTATAATAATCATGTACTGCAAACATGTGCTGATAAAAATTAAAAGAATTTTTGAAATGAGGTGGTTTAGGTTCCCATTGCAAAATCTCTCAGTCCAATTCAAATACAACCAAACACTAACAAATTGCTCCCAGTAAGACCAATAACATGCTTTAGAAATCTTAAGTTCCTACGGGAGTTAATGTATTAATCCATCTCAATTTTAATTATGTTAAATAACAAACAAAAACTTACAGTTGGAGCTAAAGGTCTAGAAGTGATACATATATTGGTGTAAAAGTATTAAGACCAAGTTGAGTTTAGAGGGGGAAAAATCATGTTGTTAAATCGCAGAGGAGTGTAATGGGTATAACAAAGAAGTATCTTTAAAATTTTGTTTGCTAAATTGCTGAGGCTGGGCTTCATCTTGTGATCCTCCTGCCTCAGTCTCCCAGAGGGCTGGGATTAGAGGTGTATTAACTACCACATCTGGCAAAACAAGCAAACAACAATCCCCCCCAAAACACCCTATTCTTACAAATGAGATTTTAGTATTTATGTTATTACACAGAATTTCAGCATTACCTAGTTTGTAGCATAGTGACAAGCCGGCATTTCCCTGAGAAAGTCATGTTTTTGTTAATATTACATTCAATTTATCAAGTATGCACATATTTATATAAATGTTTCTAAAGCATAGTTTCTCAAAGTGAGGTCCTAAAAACATCTGAATCACTGTCATGCTGGTAGCCTGTTTAATATGCAGATTTCTGGACCCCAATCTATCCTATTTGATGGAGATTCTGAGGAGTGGAGCAAGAATTTGTATACTGCACAAGCTCCCTGAGGGATTCTGATGTACCATGAAGCCTGGGAACTAAGACTTTAAATGTCATCTCAGCTTAATTTTCTCCCTTTACAACCTCAGCAGAAAAAGGTGATAGAGGTCTCACCCTCCCAACAGCCATCCAGCTGATGGCCTTCAAAAGGCACGTCTTCAAACTCAACAAGTCCACCATTCAAAAAATTCCAATCTATTCCTGCCCAGTGCCACAATGAAGAAGTTTATTCACTCAACCACGTGCCAAACTCCTCAAGAATTTAGTGCCACTACTGGGTGAATGTGGCAGTGCATGCCTGTAAAACCCAGCTACTTGAGAGGCTGAGGCAGGAGGATTACAAATTCAAGGCCAGTGTGAACAATTTAGCAAAACACTGTTTCAAAAAAACAAAAACTGAGGATGTTCTCATGGTAGAACATACTCTTAGTTCCATCTCCAGCACAGGGGGAAAGAAAAGGAATTTAGAGCTGCTAATGTATACCTCCACCACCAGAGACTCACAGGTTTTCCTTTTTTGTTGAAATAAATCCAGTTCTTTTGTGTGTGTGATAACGCAGATGGCACCTAGGTCCTAGCCCACACTAGGTAAAGCACTCTACCACTGAGCTCCAGCTCCAGCCAGCTTCAATTCTTCCAACTCTGTTTCATATGACACCCTGACAAGAAGCTGGAGAGATGGATTCACAGCTGGGCAGACAGGAGAAGAGAACAGGCTTTGGTATCTACATCTGAACTTAAACCTCCATTCTTCAGTTATCCGACCTTGACCTTGACCCTGACCAACGACTGTGGCTTGGAACCTTGGTTTTCTCATCTGTAAAGCTGTTAACCCCATTTCAGGTTGAAGGATGATTAGATGAGCGAGCTTTGACTGTCAGGGCTAGAGTTAGGGTTAGGGTTAAGGAGGACGAGCTCAGCAAGTAGCCCTCACTGCAGAGAAGACAAGGCCTCAAGAGCCAGGTGTGGACCAAATCACGGACAAAGTCCAATCAATACTTTTTTAAAGTTTCTTGAGTCAGATTAAAAAGTTATATGATTTTTTTATTCTATTATAAAATACATCTTTCATGCTTTCATATAAAAAGTGTTTTTAATCCTCAAACATTTGGATGAAATTGAGTTCCAAGGGAAATCCCTTCTCGTTTATTTTATAATTTGAAGAACTCCCAGGTACACTGCCCTCTTCCCCGTGCCTACCACTCACCTCTGTCTCCTTTAGAGAAGAGCAGACTCAGCCCACGAGCAGATATGCAAGATCAGAAAAAAGACTTCTGAGTGGCTGGACATAAACAGAAAAAGTGCTGCAGGACATGAGTCTGGGGGTGATTAGGAAGCTCTCCCTCTAAACTGTTTTCAGAGGAAAATTATTCCCAACCAAATGCAAGGACATCTAAGAGGAAACTCACACAGGCTGCTGATCCAGTAATTGTGTGTCTGTGTGTATATGGGTATATGTATATGTGCACATACAGAGCCTGCCAAAAACAGGTATACATCAGGAAAAGAAAAACCTTATATAAATAAGTATTTTAATACTAAATTTATTGAAACCTCATGAAATTAATACAATTTAGTTACCTCTGGCCTCTACAGTTATAAGAGGTGCTCAAAGTGGTAACCATTAGCTTCCAGACATTGATCTTTGGGTCAACTGCTGAAGTGTGTATGGTTTTTTTTTTCTGACTCTGCTCCCAAATCAGTAGCAGTCTGATTTGATCTGGCCTTTGGAAGTCAGCAGGTGCTGAGTGGCATGATGTTACCCGCTTTCTCATTCCTGTCTCCTTCCTCTCCTACCTGATCTTCTACCACTCTCTCATCTGGGAATTCACGGGCAACTGAAGAGCTAGGGTTTGACTATTCATACAGTGCCTGCAGTGTTAAGGAGTGTGCTGTCCTGGAATTAATGAGCCGTGGGAGGAAGAGGGCTCCCACCCAGTTACTGAGAGCTGGTTAGAGACCACATGCACAATTTTGAGGAAAATTGTGAGTGTCTCCAGATCCACAATGCTCCAAAGCGCTCCCAGGAGTCTTGCGTCCACTTGGGGAACACTTCAAGGAGGCACAGTGTTAAAAAGCCATCCTCTTTGGCCTCCTAGTCTTCAGCTCATCTAAGCCAGGAGGACAGTGGCACTGTACTCTGGCAAACACAAGCCAAGGAGCTCATAACAGCAAGATTCCTGTGTGCCACGCACTGTGCTGAGGCCACCAGACACAGAAGGAGGGTCAAGGGCGAGAGATTAAGGATAAAGAGTATGTTTCTTAAAAAGAGAAAAGAGAATTAAAAAGTAAAACCTAAAAGATATTAGACTAGGCTGCAGGAAGTATTACTCTCGATCCTGTCTTTTTAATGCCCAAGCCCAGAATATAGAGTCAATAACCACTCAGGTCTCTGGCATCGAGGGTCCTCCGTACGGTGCCCGGGATAAGGGCCACGTTCCTGCCCACAGGGAGTGATCCCGGGTCCTCCACCCAGTGGCGGCGGGCACTCCCTTCCCGGCGGGCTCGAGGCTGGGAATCCCGGGAGGTGCTTGCAAGCCTTTCTCCCCTGCCCGCCCCACTTTCCCGGGCTCTGCACCCCGGGTCCCAGGACCTCACCTGCCGCGCCGAGACCACGCCGCGATGCGCTCTCCCTCTGCGGCTGCGGAGGACGCGCCTCGTCGGGGCCGAGCCGCGCGTCTTATCCCGGCGGACCCGCCCCACTTCGGGGTGGAGACTGAGCCCGAGTTCCTGGTTGTCTGTCTGCCCACGGGACCGGAAAGTCCCTCCCAGGGCGAGCGCACCTAGGCGCCGGAGCGCGCACCCTGGGCGGAGCTGGCGTTGCCCCCTCGGGGCCCGCACCCCGCAGTGCCCGCCCCCCACTCGGGGCTCCGGCTCCTGCCCCTCCTGGATCGCGCAGCCCGCGGGCACCGCCGACCCGGGTCCCGTCCCTGCAGAGGGGATCGGAGACCTTCGACGTCTCGGATGCCAGCGTCCCCGTGCGGTCGGGGTGCCGCGTGCAGCGACCTCGCCGCTGGCTCCCCGCGCCGCCCGCGAATCAGAGCCGCCTCCCGGGAAAAACAGCGCCTAACCGCGGGCTCACATCTGGCCTGGTGGCCACATCTGGGGACGTGGAACGTGCAATCGGAACGCCGCGTTTCCTGAACACGCGCGTTCCAAAAAGTTTGCAGCCGCTCTTCACGGCTCGCGGGAACGGTTTCCTTCCTGGCGCGGCCAGCAGGCGGGGGAAACCTTTGGGAAAAGGGTTCTGGAGAAGCAGCGCTCATCTTTCTGCACGGGAAAACTACTGTGCTAGGGCTTAGTACCACCTGGCAGGAGCTGCTGGGTCGGCCGCTGCGCACCGCTCGCTTCTTGTAACGCACTTTTGTTTGTTTTTCTCTGCTTCCCCTGTTGTACACACAGCGCGTGAAGCCACTCACTAGGTCGAGGTCACCTTTGTGCCATGTGCTGCACGCTTCCGGCACATAGTAGGTACTCGGTGAGTGCTTGAAGAATGAATATGCTGCATCCATAGGCAAATTTTGATTTTGTTTAACAAAGAATAGGTAGCTTTGGGGAAGGTTTGCTATACAACAGATTAAAATCCAAGAAGTCGCTAGCATCCTTGAAGCAAGAGAGGTAACATTAGATTATTTCGTAAGGATGTGGTTAGAGGCGGTGACTTAACATGGTTAATAGGGTAAGTTTTAGGGTCAGACTGATTTGGATCTAGCTCTGCTATGTGTCTGAGAGACTCAGTTTCTGAGCTTCAGTTTAGGAACTGACTGAAGAAAATACTAAAAAAATGCAATAAGTATAATTGCTTCCTCAGAAAGGTTAGAGAGACTGTTTCACCCCTTAAAAAATAAAAATTATGGCGGAACATGAGTGTTAATGTCTGTGATCCCAGAACTTTGGGAGACTGAGGCAGGCTGATCATGAATTTGGTCCAGCCTGGGCAATTTAGCAACATAGTGAGACGCTGTTTCAAAATGAGAAAGAAAAGCTGAGGGTGTAGCTCAGTGTGAAGGCCCTAGTTTAATCCTCGGTACTACAAGAGGGGAAAAAAGTAGGTATACAAAAAAATAAAGGCCAATAACAACGAACAAACGCTGTTAGCACCACACAGAGACTGCTTTTCTTTACACTAGGCAGGTGCAGGCAGCTCCTAGCACCCTGCTGCCTCCTCCCCAAAACTACCCCTGGGGCCAGGGGTTGGGAAACCTTGGACAGAGGACTTTATGGGGTACAAAAAGTCAGTAATAAATAGTCTTAAGGGGTCAGACCGAGGCTGACCCTCAGCAGAATTTCATATCTTTGCATAGCTTCTGCCTGGGTCTTTCCTGCCTCACTGACTTGCCGGGCTCTGCTGAGAACACTCTCAACTCTGCACTTAAACGCAAGAATCCCTGTGTCTGATTGTGCTTCCCTGGGAACCCGATCTAAGACTATTTTTAAAAATAATAGAATTGAAGAAATTAAAGACTCAAAGGAGGCTACAAATCAAACAGCAGGATAGATATGTGTATTTACTTCATCCCTCTTGAACCCTGTTAAAGCCAAGAGTTGATTTTTTTTTTTTTTTAAATCTCACAAGGACAAGAAAACAAGAAAGAAATAATAACAAAGTTTTGGAACCTGGAAAGCAGAGAGTCAGGTGATAATTAGTAGAGTTGAGAAAGTTGACTCCTGTGCTAAGGCAGGGAAAGCCAAGAAGAAACATGATAGGATAGGAATTCTCAGGACACCAAGGCGTTTACTGCACGAGCTGCTTCTCCTGAATAGATAGACTGAAGCAGGAGATCTGTTGTACCTGCGGGAAGCAGCTGCTGTCTCCGCTCCCCACCTGCACAGCTGTGACCACACCTTGTGTGGAAAATAGGAAGCACCTCCACAGGAAGGGACAAAGAAGAAGGTCTCTGGAATAGGGCAGCTGTTGCAGCATTATTATTATTGAATGCTCTTTAAGAAACTATCTCAGCTGCACATGGTAGCATATGCCTGTGATCGCAGCAGCACTCGGGAGGCTGAGGCAGGAGGATTGATGTGAGTCTGAGATCAGCCTAGGCTACAAAGTGAGCTCAAGGCCAGCCTGAACTGCAGAGTATGACCCGGTCTCAAAAAGACAAAGATAAATAAATAAATAAATGAAACGATCCCAAAACTTGGTGACTTACTACAATGACCATTTTACTTTATCTCTAAATTTTTATGGGTTTATGGGTTTTATGAATTTAAACCGGGTGTAGCTGGACAAATTTCCTGTTCCACATAGCATCGATAAATGTCTCTTGGTGGAGTCAATTGACAGTATTCAACCAGTCTGCAGGACTGTCTCATAGACTTGCATATGCCGAAGGTCCAGCACTGGTCTCAGCTGGCATGGTCCACCAGAGCACCTGGATGTGCACTTTCTACATGGCAGTGTCAGCACTGTCAGATTTCCTACCTGGAGGCTCAGGGTTTCCAGAAAAAATACTCCAAGAAATCCAGCCAGGAGTTAGCAGGCTTCTCATTATCTAAGCTTGGAAGTTATTGGGCATGATTTCTATTTTATTCCTTATAGGGCATGCAAATCACTGGGCCAACCCAGATTCAAAGGAAGGGAAATTAGGCTTCGTCCCTGAACGTGGTGTGTGTGTGTGCAAAGAATATGCACCATCTTTAATCAAAGCTGTTAGATGAACATAAGGCGAAACATACTGTACCAAACTTGAGAGGCCATGTGAAAATTAAGATGTGAATATTCAGCTGCTTGATAATCTTTCTCCACTTGCTTCCTGTAGCAGCCAGAATTATGTTCACTGGTGGGAAACTTAGAATACTTTCCTCTGCGGAATCTGAGCAAAGCCTTACTGAGACTGTAAACAGTTACTCAGTGAAATTGAAGCAACCTGTTAGTAAACTCCCCCTTATCAGGGCCCAGTAACTCAGGCAGGTATCAGTCTCGGGCAGCAGTGTAGGTCTCACTCTTAGCAATGCCACAAAAATACAGGGCACCTAGTTCAATTTGAATTTCAGACAATATTTTTTTTTGTCTTTTTTTCTTTTTCATCAGTACCAGGGATTGAACTCACGACTACATATTTGCAAGGCAGGTGCTTATGCCACTAAGCTAAATCCCTAGCCCCTAATTTCAGACAATATTTTACTGAAATATAAAATACTTACAATGGGACAGACTTATACTAAAAATTATTTATCTAAAATTCAAATTTAACCCGGTATTTTGTTCTTGGCAAACAAGAACAGAAACCAAATGTCATCAGAATTGACATGACAGAATCCAAAATGAATAACCAGAAAAAAAAAAAGTTGGAAAGAAGCAGAGAATAAAGAGGATAACTTTGAGGATTTATTATTAGTTTTTTTTTCTTTTGATACCAGAAATTAAACTTAAGACCTTGTGCTTGCTAAGCAGGCACTTGTGCCACTGAGATATATCCCTGGTCTGAAGATCTATTATTGGTCTCTGAGGAATACAATCAGAATAAAAATTGCATAATCTTATTTAAAACTACTTCTGTTATTAGAAGTACCTGTTTGTAGTATATAATGGTTACATTCACCGAGGGAACTGGTACATGTGCACGGCACATCTCAATTCTTTTTGGTTTCCTTTTCTTCCCTTTCTCTTCCCTCTATCTCTTGTTCCCTTTCCATTTGCAAAAGATCTGTCTCCTGTTTCCAATTTACCTTTTGTTTTCCATTTAATTATTTATACTTTGGGCTTCTTATATAAGAGAAGCCATGTGACATTTAGGCTGTGTCTGATTTATTTCACTGAACATTATTGCCTCGAAATGCAATCTTTTTTTAGAAATTTATATTTTTTATAGTCGAATAGTACTCTCTAGTGTATAAATACCACATTTTCTTTATCCATTCATCTGTTGATGGACATACAGAGCACTTCCAAGATTTTGCTATTAGGGATTGTGCTGGTATATGCATGTGTTATATCTTTAACACAGATAAGTTGATATAACTCATATTTTTGTGCATGAATGCTGAGTCTTGCCCCACCTTTTCTGCTAGTTGTGGTTGATGAATAGTGTGTGCCCTAGGACTGTAGTCCTATCAGCTGCTCCTAATTTGTGTCCCACTGTGGGCTCCAAGTCACTGCTTTCTCTGCCTAGCTTCACAGCTTGAGGGTTTGTGAGTGCCCCTCTCTTTTCCAAACGCCCTTCTGTCTGTCTGTACACCCCAGGCTGTGACAACTGTCAGAGCTGAGGTGTGTCTCTCTGGTCACAGAGGCAGATAAAGTAAACAGACCACTGAATTCGGTGCTGAACAGAAGCAGTGAGGTGGAGGTGGGGGATCAAGCAGTCCACTGGACTTAATGCCAGCGCTTTCAGAACCAGCCCCCTCTGAAAATCATGTGCAACTGGACTGGGTTCCCACCACAGAGCACAGCACCCCTGTGTCCTTTCTCTGGTGCTCTAAGTCTAGCCCACTCCTTCTCCACAACTGTCTCTTGTGGCCATTAATGTGGTAGCATAACCCCAGAAATCCTAAAGTGTAGTTGCTCTGTAGCTCAGTCTTAAATAATTAACCCTGTTCAAGCTGGCTACTGATTAAACAGTCAAATACGGTGGATATTGTACCAGATTTCTTCTCTGACTCTAGTTTGTCACGTGGAGGGAGTTACTTTCAGAATAAACCCTCACATGGTTTTTGCAGTTTGTAATAACCATGGGCTTTTCTTGGAGGTGTGCTGGCAGCCCAGTCCATTGTCTCCCCCTGGGGCTGCTGATCCAC